GCCATCTGTGGGTACTAAAACTTGTTTAATTGAGTCTGGATTGACTTTAAAACCTCTGAATTTGTCTTGCCTTGCAGCATCCGACAGGACAATCAAAACATTGCTGACGACTACAGTTTGATTGAACCTCATCATAAAGTCAAGAACAACACTGCCACACCTAGATAAGGGGGGGAGCAAAGAGTATCATCGCACACATTCGTACTTTGGTGACTTTTAAGTGTTAAAATATATCGAGATTTAACCAATGTAATAAACCAAGGTAAATAAAATTAATTCATGTCATTCCCTGCCAATATATTACCATACATTAAAGACAATATACTTCAAATATAAATTATTTTGTATTAAATAAGATTTGCTAGAGCAGAAAAAACACTTTTACAGCTAAAATACAACACATTGAAATAAAGCTCCTCTCCCCTACTAGAAGGCAAATTTGAGTTTGCATTTGTTGTTTCAGTGTAGAACAACAAACTGTACCTTACCTGGTGTTCACAGTGTTGGCGGATGAGCAGCCAAACCTCAAGGCAATTTGACAAGCCTAAAAGGACATATCAAGAAAAAACGTACATTCAAATGCTTGTCACATATTGAAGATCGTTCAAAATATCTTATTTTTTAAACAGAAATATTAAGATTTGATTCAACAACAGATTGATTAAGATTCACTTTTCATGATAAATCTCATGGCAGCATTCCTTAAACTCCAGTATATGGATCAAGTAGATTATCTAACCATTTCTGGAAATTTCGCAGCAACTTCCGAACGTCTGCTACAGTCCTCCTGTATTGTCGCTGTCAGGTAAACTTCTGTGCTTACTGTTTGAACCGGGAAAAAAACAAAATACGACTGAAAATGAACGTTTGTTTGTTTGCACAAGAATTATCATTTGAACTCATGTACAAAAAACAGCCTTTACTTACAAAGAACACTGTCATCAAATGTACGAAAGGGAGGCCAATTTGAGAGACATTTTTTTTCTTGTGTTCTGCGTCACGATGGTGTTCTAAGAATCGTTCCCCAAGTCGTCTTCCTTTTTCGCCGAAGTATAACTTTTTGAAATAACCGCAAGTTATGACATAGATGACATTGGTCTCAACATTATTTATGAAAGGAAAAGTTTTGTGTCATGCACGCAAGGTGAAAGCCTCGGGTTGATCATTTATTTAGAAAGTATTTCTGACCAAATAGTTGTCTATGTTTTATGCGAAAATAATATACCAGTTTTTGGATCATTTTGAATAAATTTAAATTTGTTAGAAGGACAGGTCTTGCCGGTAAAATGGAATACGATCATTTTTTTCCTTCTATGACGTTTGTAGAATGCCGAATTTCGATCAGTTGTTTAAGACTCCCTGGAATGACAAAGGTAGGAGAAGAACTGGCGTATTACCTCTGACATCTTGGAAAATCAGAACTGTCAATATATAGGCTATGAAGCCTAAGACACTGAGAACAAGGAATGGTATTCTTGAGATGTGATAGATTTGAAGATGACAAACTATGAGACATCGTGGGTCTGTAGCACACCCACTGATGCATAGACTGTTATCTGTTAACTTTGACTTCTAGAGAAGCCAAAGAGGTGTCAGAAATTTCCTAGATCTATTTTAGAGCTCAATGAAAGTAACTGACCGCAATTAAAAAATGACTGAGTTCCTCTCTAGTGGATACTGTTTCACTGATACAGTGAGCAACGTAGCGACCTCAAATTCCAGCCCCCTATTTACGCCTGGTGGATGACTCTATCTCTTTGTAATACATTTGCATGTCAAGGGTCGATTCCCTGTCATTATAAATAAGTCCCGTCTAGGAATGCAATTTCTGAATTCGATATCATTCACACAGCTATCAGCTGGGAGTGTAATTGCTGCCGTTCGTGAAGATTCTTAAGCAAGACTGCTGTTTCGATTCTTTCTGAATCTCTTTAGTTGCCTCCTAAGAACGAATTTGGTCGCGGAAGAATTACGAGAGCCCACAGGCCCTTTAACCCTTTTTAACTTTCCTTTTTAACGAAGGAGCGGAAACAGACAGTGAATTCCCATTATATACATTTCTCGCTACTCTCTCTTCCATCAAAGATGTTCACTCGACTGCGACAAGATGCAAATGACTTAAGCCCCGTTCAAACGATCATGAACGTTAATGATAGACAACTGAATGACAGTTGCAACTTTCATTCACATCATTGACTATCAAGTTTGTGTTCAAACGGTTCATGACAGTCAAAGATAGTTGACAAAATATCACGCAATGAGATCGCGTAATTGTACACAAATACGGTGCGCACTGAGGTCAGCAATTTCAGCGGCACTTGAAATTTAAGCCAAGAAGTTACAAGTTAAAGACACTGAAGCCTACCAGGAAATGATAGGAATTAACTACGAGACATTCTGGGAAATTTCAACGGCTATTTTAGTCATTTTACCGTTGCCATTTCGGTTTGAGCCCGTTTATGGGCAAAACTGCTGACCTAACAATTATCATTCACTATCCTTCTCTCGTTCAAACAGCAAAAACTATCATTAACTATCATGTCGAATTTGGACATGTCCAAACTACATGATTTTTGATGAAATGCGATGATAGAACATGACAGTTCGTGTTCAAACGCGCTTGATAGTTGACACTATCGTCAACTATCGTGACCGTTTAAACGGGGCTTCAGTTTTACTTTTGCGACCATGATGCAAGGCAATCAGAGTGCGCACAGGTTCAGGATAAATAACATTTTCTTCTTCAGATGTCGTGTATGATGTCAGCGTCGGTTGAAATGATATTTCATTGAGCGTTATTGTGAACTTTGGTTTGGGAAAATGAGTCAGAGTTGAAAGAAACGACCATAAGCAACTTCTAGTTAAGAGATTACCGGTCGACTAATAGATGGGTATAAATGAGAAGAGTGAGTCAGTGAAACAATACGCCAGAAACGTACGGGCTTCTCTTATATCTTCTGTTTATGTCGCCAGTTATGATTGTTCACTCCACAGTTTTCTCTATTGTGTCAAACTCCACTGATAGTTGTACTAAATTAAAAAGAATAGTCACTTTCAACCTGTTTTCAGTTCTTCTCTTCAGATTATTCGTGTTTCACGATTGTCCTTTTTAAACCAAATTTCAATGATCATGGCAACTTTAGCCACTGAAATACAGAATTTGCTTTGTTTCTGTTTCTTGCGCTGCTAAAGTTTGATTTAAACGAAGACAAGCTAGAACTAGAATATCTCATCTCAAACTTGATAACGAAAAGAGACTTAAGATTCAAATTCAAAGATATTTGTAGAAACCTAGAAAGGTTTCATGTTGGTTAGAGGATGTGAAGCAGCGCAAGGAAAGAATTTGCAACCCGTGTTTTGAGCGGGAAATCATACTGGTGAGGTTGTTGTTGAAAAGTGATTCTTGGTATTTTGCAATTTTCTAATAAACTTGCAAAGCCACGATACTCATAGCTAAAGCTTTTCCCTTTTCCAAACGGAAGAAATAGAGAGAGAGAGAGAGAGACCAAAGAGAGAGAGAGAGAGAGACCAAAGAGAGAGAGAGAGAGAGACCAAAGAGAGAGAGAGAGAGAGACCAAAGAGAGAGAGAGAGAGAGAGAGAGAGAGAGAGAGAGACAAGAGAGAGAGAGAGAGAGAGAGAGACGAAAGAGAGAGAGAGAGAGAGAGAGACCAAAGAGAGAGAGAGAGAGAGAGAGAGAGAGACCAAAGAGAGAGAGAGAGAGAGAGAGAGAGACAAAGAGAGAGAGAGAGAGAGAGAGACCAAAGAGAGAGAGAGAGAGAGACCAAAGAGAGAGAGAGAGAGAGAGAGACCAAGAGAGAGAGAGAGAGACAAGAGAGAGAGAGAGAGAGAGAGAGAGAGAGAGAGAAAGAGAGAGAGAGAGAGAGAGAGAGAGAGAGAGAGAGAGAGACCAAAGAGAGAGAGAGAGAGAGACAAAAGAGAGAAAGAACTTAAAAGGCGTGGAGCGAGTCGAAAAAAAAAAATGGGGTTTGATAGGGCGAAGAATAGGCAGAACACAGCGAGGGGAAGACGATAGAGAACAAGAAAAGGGTTAAGTAGAATGGCGAATATCTAGCGAAGACCAATGTGAGAAGAGAATACAAAGAGCTCCAGAAAAGAGACTGAAAAGAGATTATCAACAAAGAGAAAGTGAACTTAATTTACTGGTAGCTAAAAAAACGAAGATCCCCGAAAACTAAGACATAAGACCTAAGAAAATGAATACCCTTCATGACCTTGAGACAGGAAGTTTGCGTCACGCTCTGTAGCCTCACCGAAGAAAACCAGTGAAAAGATAGACAACCTCTCTCTTCGCAGCGTGAGGCAGCGTGACCATACATTCTTAATTAAGCTAAAGCGAAATCGCCGACAATTCTGAGTTCTCGTGGTTCAGTAATCTGGTGTCGAAATTGCGTTGCGCAGAGGAGGCTAAGTTCTAAGTCGCTTTCATCGGTATGAAGAATAAAGTGCCGAGGTGGTGAAAATGACAGAAGAGTTCTCGGAATTCAGTGTGGGAGAGTGAAACTTTTTGATGTGGGAGAGATGCATCAGCTAAGTGATGGCAGCAAAGGAAAGAAAAAAGCAGTTAATTTAAATGTAAGAAGATTACACGAATGTGTTGCAGACTTCTCTTACCAGATTCAGATCAGCATGTGTCAGACTTAAAATATTTGTGTGTGCCAGCCAATGATTAAAATCTCAGTTAATAGATATTGATTAATGATTAAAATCTCAGTTAATAGATATGCCATATATTTGCAGTTGGCATACAAATATCAACTGCGACGTAAGTAAAATTTTTCTCATTGATTAAGGTTCTTGCGAGCGAAGAACTCACCCGTAAAAACCTCGATGTTGATGACAAGGAGAGTGTTTGAAAACTAAGTAAAGAAAAGGATAAACCGATGAAAGGGGAAAATAAGATTCATTTGAACATACTTCCTTCTGTCTTGACTTGCTGGATGTTTGCTCTCTCTTGTTTCAGGCTTTCACCAAACTCATTAGTTGCAGTAATGGCAAACTGATACACTTTTCCTCTCTCCAACGCTATTTTCAATTCTCTCACAGAAACATCTCTGATTCTCCTTATTTCTGTCCATTGTCCCACTTTCCCATCAGTCACTACTCTTAGGTACACTGTATACATGATAATAACTTTTCCATTACTTTCTGGCTCCTTCCACTTTAGGGTAATTGTATCGTTTGTTGTTTCGCCTGGCAGTTCGTCTATTTCGACCACATCTGGGGCTCCTAGATTGATGTCAACGACACGAACAGCGTGAAATTTCTTGTTACAAACCTGGTCAGAACCATTATCAGTGATTAACTAATCTGTAAACTGGTCGAGGATTTGTTTGGGATATTTCTGAGACGAAAGTGTATGGCAACCAAATTAAGTTAAGTATTGAGATGAATTCAAAATAATTTCAAAGGACAAAAAGTGATAATGAGAAGCCTAAAATGATGGTCAGTTATTGCCTAAAACAAATACTGCATTTATATGGTGAATTTGAACGATGCACTGACTTCTACTGACATTGTAATTGCTATTTACACGTGATCAAATGAAGGACTGATGCATAGATGACGTCACAATTCACCGTTCGTTTGTGTCACGTAGTTACAGAAAGGATCTCAGTTCGTGTACAGCTACTTTCCGTTTTTGAAAAGTTTGACATCGCGCATGATTAAGTACAGGCCTACGATTCTTCTTCTGCAAATATAAGCTGGCGCGGGTTTTTCGCCGAGACAACAAGCTTTTTTCTTCAGGGGGTTTGCCAACCGAGGAGGCAATGACAAGAAGCGCTTAAGCGATAACAGGTGCGACGAACTTCATTGCCATATTACGGCTGCTCAACTTCAGTTACTAAGTACACACCTGTTACCACAATAGTTTTTTTGTTGAGTGAGATATGTGCCGGATGATATTCGAAAGAAACTTTCTTGAAAACGGCAACCTTAATTGTTTTGGTTTGGGCTTATCCCTGCAAAATGAAAATAAGCTATTTCTCATCTTAAAGAAAATATACGAAGGATTCTTCGAGGCCGTCCACACACCGTTTGACGAGATTTCCCCATAATATTTGCATATTAGAAGCGACATTCTTTTTATTTGCAACAAAGTTTATAGGGATCTCAAGGCGAATAAAGTAAAGTAAACATCACCAATTACTATATCCGCTTCAGACGCGAACGAGTTATTGTGTGACAACAACACCGTAAAGACTCATCATGTCAATCGCTCAGATTTTTTAAGAAAACATGTTCACCAATGTTCACCGATGTTTAAGCTTCTGTTTGATGTTCACCAATGTTCACCAGTGTTTTTTTACTAAATGTCGTTTACTTTTCTGTATGTTTAACTTCTAATAAGTTGTATTGGATTGACGACCAACTCGCCGACGTCTCTACTCGATTTTATACGTCGGCGAGTTGGCGTCGGCGAGTTGGTCCGTCGGCGAGTTGGTCCGTCGGCGAGTTGACTGGTTACCGATATCTCATCCATACACATCTGATCATTATTCTACTGTATCTTTTAAATAGAAATAATCATTACTTAAAGTACCTGAACATGGCCCCTGGGGTAATTACTAATGAATGTACTCATAGTAATGAGGCAATGATGATCAGTTATAGTTACAGTAATTGTAACAGTAACTGAATACTAGTTGTTTTGAAGTTAGTCATTGTTACCTATGATCTGTGAGAGTACAGACACAGCTGACTTTGATTGAGAAAACCATGTCCTCTACATACATGTAACTAACACTTCCCACAAAGTTTTTGCAATTCAGAGCTGTTCACAAGCAAGGGTAAAGGACAAAAAAGAAGAGTTCACTCTGACTTAAGAAGTAGAAGTACTTTAACCTCATTTCAACCAGAGCTAATCTTCAAACAATACAGGCTTCAGAGTAAGTTTGTAACTTTCTGTAATCATGGCAAAATAGAATCTACTTATCAGGTGGACCGGGCCTTACTTGGATTCAAATCAAGTTCCCTTTTAACACTGAATGCCCCAAGCTTTCCCTCTTTGATTTCATCTTCCAGTGGTTTCAAAGGGTCAGTGACAGATTTACCAAACTTCATCTCTACTTTAGCAATGACACTACCAGATCTATAAGTAAAAAAGAGAAACATGCTGATCAAAGCTGTTTGCAAAATGACAAGTGATTGATACTTTTTCATCTCCTCTGTGATATCATTCCACCAAAATTCAATTCCTTAAATCTAACATTATTAAATCTCAAATAATAATTGTTTGTATACAAATCAATGCACTCTAAACAGTAAAACTTCAACTAATTCCTGAACTAACCATGGAGTTTGTGATGCAAACTAAATTGTGCATTTGTCTTCTTCAAAAACAAATGTTATCAAAATATGAATACCTTGCGCACTCTAAAATTGACAGTTACCTGAAATCAACAACACCCACTGTGTATAATTCTTTTCCAGGACTTTTGGTGTAAACCTTAGATATCTTAAACACAAGGAAGAGAGTTATGTCACTTTACATGGAATAAAAATGCCAAAATGCATTATTCAAAAGTATACACATGTAAAGTGCATGCAGAACACAAAAATTTCATTGGTCTGTGTGTCTGAAAGAGCAATTTTTGGTTTGCTTCACTGGTGTAAAATTTACATCACAATATTTCTAGTACAGATACATGTATGTGTATGTGTAGATGCACCATTGTTGGTGCTGAAAAAAAAAATTCATAGTCACATTGACTAATCCTCTCTCCCAAACGAAATTTGAAATAAGTTCAAGGCTATTATAATCTGATCTCCTAGTTCAGAATCATAAATAAAGTATAAAGTACATAAGGTAAACAAAATGTACCTACAATATATACTGAGTAAAATTCAAATTGAATTTTCCTCTAAAGAAAAGCGAAAAAAGGAAACAGTGGCACAAATATGCACATGCATTTTTAAGTTGTTTGTATTCAAGGAAAACTCTTCAATGAATGTTCAATGAGGTGCAAGATAATGAAAGCAATTTCTCCAATTATTTTTTCAAATATTTTTCCTTGGTAGTCATCTTAAATGGATGAAAAGGCAGCTAAGTCAGTCCAAGCAGTATTTGACAAGAGGAATTACAGGGTATCTGTACTCAAACATAAAAAATTTGCAAATTATCACTGTATGACAAACATAAAACATGTGTACTGGTAAACATACATGTAAAAAAAAATTCTTGACCTTCCATGGTCACCCATTGTATTTAACCCTACAAAATACTTACTTCTGATAACAAATTTGCTTGCAATGTTTTGAACTCAATTGACTCTCTGTTATTCAAAGCTGACTTCCAAGTTTCACTCTCTAATTTTATTCCAACTGTCTTAATTTCACATTCATTACCTTTGGTGTATAAAAAAAAGAGAGAGAAAATAAACAATAATTTAAGGTTACTCCAAAACTATATCTATGCAGGACTATTTTTTCCTACTTCAATTTTTTCAAATTAAGTCAAATAATTAATCTTTCATCATCCAAAAGTTCACTTCAGATCTGAAATGCATGGGGAAAAGGGTACTTTTATATTTTAGGAAAATGATAAACTTTCAAGTTGTCATGATCTCTGGAAGGCTTGTACTCAAAAACCTTTCAAGGTAAAAAGCTTCAAGCAGGTGATCATATTTCATCTTAGCTTTGTTTCCACTTGAGATTGAAAGCAATAGCTTTCAAAATACAGTGTAGAAAAGTCCATTTTATCATGAAACAAAGCCAAATACATGCCACATTTACAACTTAACTGGTGATTGTTCACATGCAGGAAAATGTTTCAAGTAGAGGAATGTCTTTGCTTAATGGTTACCATTGAACCAAACCTTTTTATCAAAACTTGGCACCCAAATGAAAAAAAAATCACTTTGAACCCTCTTAAGGTGGGTACATACACTATTGCTACATGTGATGGGAAAGCCTCAGTTCCCACTTTTAACAAAATTGTTACATGGAAACAGACACCTCAATCATCTGTATTACATTCCCATCTTATCACACAAATGTAAAAGAAATCTAAACTGTAAAGAAGTCCAAAAATTAAACAAATGAAAACAGAAATGAACCACTAATTATAAACATTTTAGAGGGGAAAACAGGAAGGAAAACACATTTTCTATGTTGTGCTAAATCCATTCCATTGTTGTAAATCAGGCATGAATCAAAATACATGTACATGTTCTTGTTAAGTTGGTTCTGTAACAATGTATAGCTTGAAAAACTTTTCAATTGCACTGCCGTAATCAGAAGAACAGCTTTGATAATACAGGACAGACAACTTACATTTTACACCAACTATACTGGCATTAGAGGCATCGACTCCATATCCATTACTAGCTGTACATCGGTATGATCCTACATCCTTCAACTTCATGTCAGTCAAATGAAGCTTGTAACCTGTCACATTAAACTCTTCAGCTGGGATTCCATCTTTTGTCCATGTAATCTTTGGCAAAGGATCACCAGATGCATTGCAGGTCAGAGTGTAGTTTTTTCCAATGGTAAGAAAAGGCCTTGGTTCTGGTGGGTCAGTTATTTCTGGAGGCACTGGAAATAACAATTTAAGATATGCATTTAGATTGTGTGAAATTATCACAACTATTACATGGTATAGAATATTACATACACATCTAAGAAACTGCCACATCAAAGGCAGTGTGATTATCGAGAGAATGTTGTAAATAAAAATGGGGAGACAAGAGTTCAGCCATCTAATAACTACTGAGGAAAATACTTGTAAATAATAATATTAGTAATGCTAACATTTATTCATACTGATACCTGCATACACATATTACATTGTTTAGTGAGAGATGCACGGAACAAAGTCTGTAATCAAGCCCTTGATGGATCAATGTACTGTAAACTTGAAAAAGACAATTTACCCTTGCAGTGCCTCTCTCTGGCCAAGAGTGTAAATAAGTAACAGCACATGGTCAAGAGAAACCTGAAAAATACTGGGGCTAATCCTACAACCCAGTGGCATCCTCTCCCTGGGGTTGTCAAGTTTCTTTGAAAATTCAGGTCACTAAAACCCCATGAACAATCCCTCAGGAAAAGCTCTAAATACTGTCAGTAAATATGCATGACCTTCCAAGCAATCATTAATTCAAACGCAATTTCTCCACGAAAAAAACGTTTCACGCAGCATTCTGAGTAGGACTGGGGGAGTTACGATGGGTTAAACATGATGTGATTTAATCAACTTACTACATCATGAGGAAAACGCAGCCTGCTACTAACGCAAATTTCAATAAACAAAAGACATTCATATTTTTCGAGTCAACGGTTGCGTACCTCCAAGCGATGAAAAGCGCTCAGTGCTTGTGATTTTTAATGACCTCACAAGTCGATAAATACTTGAATGTTGTAAGCAGTAAATGAGCCGTTCAGATGTAAATATTCAACGAGGATGACTCATACAAAAACTGGTATATGTGGGAGTAATGAACAATACAGACCGGTCGGCTGTTAATATTTAGCAATGATGATTTCAAGAGTCGTCACTCGTTCTCTGTCGAAAGTGTGGTCAGAATACCTTAGTGAACATAACAGCATCAAAATCACGCTGAATGGTTATCAAGAAATTTTTTCCTCGTGAAAATTGTTGCAAAAGCAAGAACAAAATCGTGCACGTACACTTTACATGTATATTGGTTGCACAATTCACATTTACATAACCCAAGTGTGAGCTTAACTACTATTCATCATCGAAGAAATACAACTTCAAGCAGCAAAAAAAGAAAAAACAAAATTAAACATAACAATCAATTCACAGGGATACCAGTCATTCCTAGTGTCACATGAAAGAATGACTACGTCGATCGCGGCTGAAAGGTAACAAGCCGTTTGAAATACTGAAAGTTTGAAAACTGTGTCGTTAAACGGAACAGTGATTTGACTCACTTGACACATTTATAAAATAAACTTGTCTTTCCCTGCAACAAAAGTTCTGATAAAAGTGATTTCACGCAAAGAGAGAGAGAGGTTTATATATAAAGTTTGCGTCAAAATCTTTCCGAAATTGGTACGTTACCATAATACACAACTGAGTTGTTGACAGTAAATAAAACACACGAAATGTATCACAAGACAAAGTGTTCTAAAGCAACTCATCACTTACCGACCACAATAATAGAGACTGCGTGCGAACCTTGCGATTGGAGTTTAGTATCCAGCAAAAAAATAGTGTAGGTGTATTCCTCATTTCTCTTCACGTTCTTCAGTTTTAGTGTTGCTTCCAGAGAGGCTTCGAATTCCTTTGTGCTACTCGGCTCGAACGCATTTCTATCTTTGCTTGATGATATTATTTCAACTGTTTCACGAGGTTTCTCTCTGAGAAACTGAACGTAATAGTTAGGCGGTGCATCAGAATACCGCCACTCAAGACTGACTAGGCTGCTGTTTACTCCAAGCACCACAATAGTAGGATTGGAAGGTTTTTGGCTGATTCTGAATGACTCTGAAGAAGGAAAACAGACAAAGTTGAGCTAAATTTCGACACATCACACGTAACTATAATAACCTTGAAGATCATCTTTCATAAAATTTAAAGAAGGGTTTCGGTATGTCAAATTATTTTTAGAGCAGTTTAGAGCTTTATCTCAAATGGCAAACTAAAGTAACATCTCGATATTCTTGACTCGATAAACATTACCTGACTTCTGAATTATGTAGCAGAGTAAAAGGGTTGCCAAAACCCATCGAAAAACGCCAGTAAGAAAAAGATCCATTATCCTTTCACAAGCCTATTCCCCTTACGAAATTCAACTGAAGAAACATTCAAGGAACGTTCGTTGTATTTTTGGTGTCTAGTGCTTTAGCACGAAGACACCTATGGAAGAGTGCAAAAAATTTCGAAAAATACTTCATATACCACAAATTACGAGGTCATACTAGTAAGGCCACATTAAAGTATACATTTTGTGATGGTCGACATGAATGGGAAAGAAAATGTTAACCAAAAAAAATGTGTAAACAAATCGATTTATAATCGCGGGGAGTCGGAAACGAAAAAACTACGACGAATCCCATTCAAGCAAAAAACAGAGCGAGGAATAGTCGAGACCAATTAATGGAATTTGGAAACGAGAAGAAAACAACAAGTCGATGAAAAGGTGATGTTTTCTTTCGACGTTGTGCGTAGTCAAACCCACGCGTGGATGGTGAAGTAGGTAAGTGAAGCGGTCTTTTGTGGAGTCTTTATAATGAATTTCCTCAAAGTTTGTTTCTCGTTATGCCACAGTTTTCGAAGCACGGTTCAATGTGAACGAGTGAAAGGATTAACAAGATACTTTCAGGTGATCCATCAAGGCAGCTGGCGCCAACAAGATGTTGACCACGCTTTCATGAATGCAATTATTGAGCCCCGTTTGGGGAGTATTGAGCCCCGTTTGGGGATTATTGAGCCCCGTTTGGGGATAATTGAGCCCCTTATGGGAAGAGTTGAGGCCCATTTGGGAATTATTAAGTCCCTTTTGGGGAAAATTGAGCTCTGTTTTGGGACTGTAGAGCCCGTAAAAGGATTGAAGAAACTGTATTTTGAAAATGGATCGCTCAGAGCTAGAAAATCTGCTGTAAACTGAGAATGCCTTTGAGTAATGAACCGTCGGAGAAAACTGTGGCTTATTTTATAGACAAAATAATTTTAAAAGTAGTAGTGCTTTTGGGAATGTAAGCGTCCATTCAACAAAATCGACGGATTTGGGTATCTTGTTTTCTTTACAAAGGAGCGATACTTGCAGGCATTCCAAAAGAGCTAAAACAATTAAGTGAAAGTAGGAAGCAGACATCTAAAATCAATGAAGTAAGCGCCAAAAGGAATCGCAATCCTTACCTGAGGGAATACATGAAAAAAAGGAGAACTGATGAAGGTAGGATGCAAAAATCAAACAACAGGAATAGCAGTGTTCTGTCTGGAATAGATGACCAAACTTCTACCACTAAGAAAAACCAAAAAAAACAATGTCACTGTGAGGTAGCAAACCAGAATAGAGAATGTCACATTAGAGTAGCAACAACTGCCGCAAAAAGAAGTAATGATGAAGACCTAAATGAGAATCATCACATTTCAAAGTTTCATGAAATAGTGTCGCAAGGTCCATCATACATCTGTAGCTGTTGTGACCAGCTATGGTATAAACACAGTGTTTCTTCAGCCAATACATTAAAGAAATTAAATCCTGCAGCTGGGGAAAAATACCTTATTAATAAAGTAAGTGTCAAACATAAAGAGTTGCTTTGCAGAACATGCTACAAATACTTAATAAAGAATAAAGTTCCTCCTACTGCTATTTTAAATGGAATGCAATTTCCAAAAAAACAAGATTTTTTTGATTTGAATGAACTTGAATGTAGACTTCTTGCACCAAGACTTACATTTCAAAAATTAATGCAAGCTCCAAGGGGAAGGCAATTCAAAATTCTTGGAAATGTAGTTAATGTAGTGGCAGAAGTATCCAATACTGTTAATGTGTTACCAAGGTTACCCAGTGATACTGGTACAATTAAAGTAAATTTAAAGAGAAAATTACAATACAAAAGTTCAGCAATGTCTTTCAATGTAAGACCGCATAAAGTTATTCAAGCAGCTAACTGGCTCATCAATAACAGTAGCCTGTATAGACAAGAAGGAATAACAGTTAATCAGGTCTGGGGAGTAGAATATAGAGACAACTGTTTGGTAGATGAAAGATAATAGGTAATAATAAGTAATAATAGTAATAATAAGATAATTGGTAGATAATATATGCATGCCAATATGGCTGCCACGCTCTTTAGAGCTCTTGCAGTTTTCTATATTTTTACCTTCATAACTATGATAACAGTCGAAAGAGCTTATCGAAATCAATCTTTAACATCAAGATGCATTAGTTGGATGGCTAGATTTGAGCTGAGAGTATCCCGGTCTCGAAATCTCCGGGTAAGAAGGGCTATGGTGAAATGGGACAGTCGAGGCATGGTCTTCCTGGCCGCCCCTGAGAAGTTTGTTGTGCTCGACATTACTGTTAATATGGATGTCCATCCACATCCTGGACCTGAAGAAGTGGATAATGACCACGGTAAACGAAAACAGAGCTCCAACTCCTCGGACTCTGCTTGTCAACCTGCAATTGGGTCAGTCAGAATCCATTGCTCTCACAATCGTGACAGGCTACTTTCGCTGAGACGTTCGGCGGGCCGACCTGCGCCTCATGTTTTCGATACCCTTAAATCCCTGGGAATTCTGAAATACAGAGGTCCGGGATTACGAAGATTGGGGAAAATTACTAAAAATATCTCTGCATCGCAACACTCCGACAGATGTCGACCCATTGAAGTTGTTAAAACCCGGCGGTTTGCTAGACCTTATCGCTTCCAAGATCCCGCTAAGAACAGATATCTTACAGCTATTCCTCGAGAGCCTACTAAATCATCTACCGATTGCTCGGAGTTTGCCGTTCCCAAGTGTATGTTCATCAATATTTGCAGTCTCGCAAAAACTAAGAACAAAGTGCGTGCGGCGGTTGGACTTGAGGCTGACTTGCGATCTAAAGATATTGATGTTTGTGTCGTATCGGAAACACACCTCAAACCGGCACAACCGGATGCGATTGTAAATATTGAGAACTATTCCATCTTTCGTAGAGACAGAAATTGGAATGGCAGAGATATGCGCAATAAGGGTGGGATTGCTATATACATCAGGAACAATCTTGCAGTAGAGGATGTTTACCGCTCTAGTCTTTATGAATTAATTTGTATAACTCTGCGACTTCCCAAGGGACATCGATTTGTAATATGTGGAATTTATCATCCCCCAAAATTTAATTATGCAGAGATCGATCTAATGAATCATCTTGTAAATACCGTGGATAATATACTAGACAAACATCCACAATCAGTTGTGTTGTGCGGTGGCGATGTCAACAAACTGGATATCAAACGCTTCGAAGAAATGTCTGGTTGGAATGCTCTGGTTAATTTCCCCACCAGAGGGAATTCTTGTTTGGACAACTGTTTCACGAACCGCACGGATCTCTTTTCAAAGTGCTATCCCTTTCACATGCTCTCCAAGACGGATCACATGGGAGTTATTTTACCACCCGGTATAAAGCTTCCACCTATCCGCCGTAAAGTATACGTGCGTGACCAAAGGGCTCATAGAAAGCGTGATCTGTATATCGCGTTGGCGAAGGAAAACTGGGATGATATGATACAGGAAACTGATGTCGATGAAGTGGTTGGTAGGCTCGAAAATACCATCCTAGGGCACCTGGATAGCTGCATGCCTCTGAAAACAGTGCGCATGTCTTCAAGAGACCCGGGCTGGATGACTCCGCTCGTTCGATCGATGATACGAGCCAAATCACGCATATCACTCAGTAATCTAGACCGTCTTAAAGTTATGAACAAAAGGATCTCTGAAGTGATTTTCAGAAACAGAAGGGACTTTATCGCCTCTATTGGAACTCGGGATTGGTGGAAAAAAGTGGATAAAACATCTCAGCGCCGCAAGCCGGTGATTTCTCTATCTCTTGGCCACTACGAACTCAACGCGTTAAATGACTACTTTGGTGACCTATGTACTGACCACGCCTACAGAAAGCCAACACCTCTGGAGATTAGTGAAGATCAGGAAGTCCCAGAAATCTCAGAGCGACAAGTCCTGAATTCTCTTATGCGTATAAAGAAAACAGCAACCGGACCAGATGGCATCCCGTATACTATATGGAAAGACCACGCCGAGCTATTCGTTCCAGTGATCACCTGGATTTGGAATCTGTCTCTTAGAACACACGCCTGGCCTGTCTCTTGGAAAAAGTCAGACCTGTACCCCTTGCCGAAGGTTGATATACCTAAGGGAATATCAGACTTCCGCGGAATAAATGTGACACCTGTCATCGCAAGGTGCTTTGAGAAAGCTGTCTTAGGAACACACGCAAGGGAGACCTTCGATGAACATTCTGGGATCTCACAGTTTGCATACATAGAGGGAGGGAGCTGTACCAATGCTCTACTGACTATCCAACATACTGTCAATCAATATCTTGATATCCCAGAGTGCAAAGCGGTACGCCTATTCGCTATGGATTTCAGCAAGGCTTTTGATAGTGTGAAACACGATCTCCTCTCACACAAATTGAAGCAACTCCCCCTAAATCCTTTTATAGTTAACTGGTATCTAAGCTTTTTGGAAGACAGGCAGCAGAGAGTCATTAGAAATGGGTTTATTGGAAAATGGAAAAGTGTCAACAAAGGTACCACCCAAGGAAGTGTCAGCGGGCCGCACTTGTTCAATGTCTTTCTCAGTGATTTAGAGATACACTTGGACAATAAGAGCGTGCTGGTAAAATATGCAGATGATACAACCATTATCTCGCCTGTGATAGGTGATAATGACAATTCTATCGCACTGATTAATCAGTTTTCCCAGTGGTCTAGAAGTAATGGTATGTGTAGCAATCCATCTAAGTGCAAGGAAATCATTTTCCGCAAGAAAGGTTGTACAATAGAGTTTCCGATGGTGTCTGGAATACCACAGACAAAAGAGCTTACTATTTTAGGGGTAACATTTCAGGAAGACAGTAGGTTCATAACACATATTCGGGAAAAACTAATTAAAGCAAACAAGTGCCTGTTCATTTTAAGATCTTTAAGGAAAGAAGGGTACAATCAGGCCGAAATAGACCATCTGTTTCTAAATCTGGTTCTACCAAATATATTATACGGGTTGTCCGTATTTGGCGCTGTAAATTCGAATTAACAACAATCCAATGTTTCTTAGATCGATGTTATAAGCGCAAGTATACATCCGATCACATTAATGTTTATGAATTGTTAGTTCAACAGGACACGCGTATCTTCAAGAATGTTTTTAATAATACAATACACCCTTTAAGAGCTATAATGCCAAAAAAGAAATTAACCAAGTACAATCTGAGGAAAGAGACAAGTCACCATCCTAAAATAAACACTGATAGGTTCAAAAACACGTTTGTTAATCGCTTAATTTTTAAACATAATCTAGTCTTATAATTTTTATCTTGATTTTCTCTGTAATTTATATATATACCTTCTTTTAATGTTGTAACATAGGATATGTGATTATTTATCTTATGACTTAATAAAGATTCAATAATAATAAAGAAATATTGAAAATGAACACAAAGGGCTACAAAATATTGTTAACAGTTGTGTTAATACTTCAAGTAATACTAATTGTGATGAAGTTGTAGAGACCGAAGATCAGTGGAGTGAAGATGAAATAGAAATACCTGTTGGAGTTACTGACACCATGTTGACAAACACAAATTTTGTTGAGGACAGTGAGAGTCATCATATTTTAAATGTTGCACTAGGTAAAGGGAATAAACCTTTAAGCATATTCAGAGATCAATATTCTAAAGAATTGGCATATCCTGGCATATTTCTTGGACAAAAACGACCAGAAAATAAAGAGAGATTGGTTAGCGTGCATTACAGAGACATTGGTAAATCTGAGTTGAGGCGGTCAGATAGAAGAGCGGCTATGTGTGTTGAAAACATATTCTTTAAAACAAAGAAACTGCAAATGAAAATACTATTAGGAAATTCCCAAGTTGCTCTTAGAAAGTGCAAAGGGATTAGCAGAACTTTAAATGCAGCACAACATAAACAAGAAGGAGCAATAGAGAAATTGATTCATCATGATGATGGATTTCAGTTTCTTAGAGCATTAAGAGGTTCCCCACCATATTTTGAAAAAGCAAAGAAAGACTTGTTTGCCATGATAAGACAATTAGGACCAGCCTCGTTATTTTGTAGTTTCTCTTCAGCAGAAACTCAGTGGATTCATTTGCTCAGAATACTTGGAGAGTTGGTTGACCACAAACAGTACACTGATACTCATCTGGAAAATATGAGCTGGGATGAAAAATGTAGGTTAATTCAAAGTGACCCAGTATCATGTGCCAGACATTTTGATTATCAGATCAGTCAATTTCTCACTAACTTCCTCTTGAATAAGTGCCAACCTCTAGGAAGGATATCTGACTGGTTCTATAGAGTAGAATTTCAACAACGAGGTTCACCTCATATCCATATGCTTATATGGTTAGCCGGAAAGTGCACCAGTGTTTGGAATTGATGATGATGCAACTGTTACAACATTCATTGATCAGATTGTAAGTTGTAAATGGCCAATTGATGACCCACAACTGCAGAAACTAGTGAACAGACAAATTCACAGGCATTCTCACATATGTCGAAAGAAGTCAAAGAGTGAATGTCGATTTAATTACCCGCAACCTCCTATGAGAGCAACTGAAATCATGTATCCTTTAGGTTCAGATATATCACAACATGAAATTAAAAAACATAAAGAAACTTGGAAAACTATTAAAAAGCAACTAAATGATTTAAAGGATGGTGAATCAATTACTTTTGAGGAGCTGCTTCTTAAACTAAGTATTACTGAAAATAACTATCGATTAGCTATCAGGTCAGCTTTGAATTCTCCAACTATATTTTTAAAAAGAGAACCAAGTGAGTTAAGAATTAATAGTTACAACCCAACTTGCCTTAAAGCATGGAGAGCAAACATGGATATTCAATTTGTTCTTGACATCTATGCATGTGCTATGTATATAGTATCATATATTTCTAAAGCACAAAAAGGAATGAGTGAACTTTTGCGACAAGCACTTGCGGAAGCGAGGAAAGAAAATTCTAACATCAAGCAACAAGTCAGGGATATTGGAAACAAATTTTTAAATAGTGTTGAAATTAGTGCACAAGAAGCTGTCTACATTGTTCTCCAGCTCCCTATGAAGAAGTCATCACGACAAGTGGTATTCATAAATACTGCACCTCCCGATGAAAGAGTGCAGCTCCTAAAGCAACTTAATGAAATTAAAGAAATGGAAGATGATTGTGAAGAAGTGTATACAACTGGTCTGTTGCAGATACAGATAAACTTCCTTTAGAAACAGGCATTGATGAAAATGATGATACCCTTCCTGATGAAAGTAGGAGCAATAAGGAAACAAATAGAAAAAGATCATCAGCTAGAATTATTAGAAGTGTTTGGTTTAACAAAGAAAAAGACCCAGAGAAACACTACCGTGAATTAATTGTGCTCTTCACATCATGGAGAAATGAGGAAACTGACTTAATATCCAATTGTTCTTATAAGGCCCGATTTTTACTTATGAAAGATGCCATAAATGACCGAATGAAACAATATGCTGTTTACAGCGATGAAATTGATAAAATTCAGGAGCACATAAATGATAATATTCTGAGTGATGATCAGTTTGATTCAATAGCACCATTTACTCAAAATATAGAATACCAAGATGAGTATGAAGGTGTTCATGACCTACATCCTGACTTCAATGAGAACTATGACCTATCAGAAGATGTTGGAATTCCTTCTGTGACAACAAGTACTGAACCACTAATATTAAATGAGCTGCAAGACAATGATTATAGACAATTAGTACAAACACTAAATAAAAGGCAAAAAGAGTTTTTTTATCATGTCTTGCATCTTATTAAAACATCAGACAAACCATTTTACTATTTTCTCTCTGGAGGAGCTGGAGTGGGTAAGTCCCATCTTGTCAAAGCATTATATCAGGCAGCATTAAAATATTATAACTCCAGACATGGAGAAGATTTCCAAGAAGTCAAAATATTGTTGCTTGCTCCTACTGGAAAAGCTGCTTTTTCTATCAGAGGTAACACAATACATAGTACCTTGCAAATACCAGCATGCTAATCACTTAAGAATTACAAACCACTAGACTCTAGTAGACTTAACACTTTGAGATGCAAACTTCATGTACTTAAACTAATATTTCTAGATGAGATATCTATGGTAGGAAATACTATGTTTAATGTACAAATAAACAATAGATTAAAAGATATTAAAGGCAGCAAAGAGGCATTTGGGGGTGTTAGTGTTATTGCACTGGGTGATTTATTCCAGCTAGAACCAGTTATGGATAGATATGTGTTTAAAGACATGAAAGACTCAGAGTATGGAGCTCTTGCTCCCAACCTCTGGAAAGAACTTTTTACCATGTTTGAATTACAAGAAATCATGAGGCAGAGAGAAAGTAAACAATTTGCTGAAATTCTTAACAGATTAAGAGAAGGTAATCACACTACAGATGACATTGCCAAACTTAAAGAGAGGTGCATTTCAGAAAATTGTAGAGACTACCCAACTGATATTCCCCATTTGTTTATACAGAATTCTAAAGTAGATGAGTGGAACAATAGAGTCCATATGGCAGCTACTGGTGATAAATACACCATTAGAGCTTTAGACAGTGTTATAGGTGCAAACTCTCCAGAACTCAGAAGTAAGATATTAAACCAAATACCACTAGATCCTAGAAAAACCAAGCAGTTGGCCTCCAACCTTCAACTTGCTGAGGGTGAGAGAACAGAGATAGCATTAAATGTAAGAACTGATAATAGTATCACAAATGGGGCAAGTAATATTATCAAAAAGACTACATTATATGACAAAAGTAGACCATCTGGTATAATTTGGGTACAGTTTGACCATGTTGATGTTGGAGAAAAAACTAGACATGATAACAAGCAATTGTATTTGCAAGGAATTGAACCTACATGGACTCCTATCAAACCTATCATTGCACAATTTGCAGTAGGAAGAAACAGAACAGCCCAAGTTGTAAGAAAGCAGTTTCCATTAAGACCTGCAGCAGCCAAAACCATACATAGATCACAAGGTGACACAGAAACTAGAATAGCTGTTAACTTTAACACCAAAAGAGCAATACCTCATGTGCATTATGTAGGACTCAGCAGAGTAACAACAATTGATGGACTTTACATAACTGACCTTTCTGAAAGTAAAATAGCTGTTAATCATGATGTTAAAGTTCACATGCTGCAGTTATGCACAGATCGCCATACCAAACTTTCTAATACTCCGATCTATGAATTAGACCCAAATACTTTTAAAATTTGCTTCCTTAATTCAAGATCTCTGCATAAACATATTGAAGACATACGTAGTGACCTAAACTATTCAAATATGGATATCAATATATTCTCAGAAACAAGACTGTACCATTTAGATAGCAATGCCAGCTATGCCATAAGTGGGTATACTATATTTTGAAATGACAGTGAATCTGCAATACTCACTACAAGGCCCTTTGGTGGAACAGCTGTATACACTAAAATCCCCTTTAAGCCTGGATATCCACTGGCCAAAAACACCAATGGAGTAGAAAAAACCATTATCAAAGTTGTTGCCATTCCCTATGTTAATATCATAGGTGTGTACAGGTCACCGAAAGTGTCAGTCCGACAAATGTGTCTAGCATTGACCCAAATTCTCAATAGTTGCTGTTCTGATTTTAATGTTTTTCTTGGGGATTTTAATGTTAATTACTTAATTCAAAAAGAGAAAGTTCCCCTCAATAACTTGTTTATAAGAGAGAACAATTACAGACAATTGGTATCATCCTATACTACTGATAATAGAACAACTATTGACCATATATACCAATTTGCCTGAATCACAAGTGACTGTACACATTCTGGAAACATATTTCACTGATCATAAAGCAATATGTGCATTGATTAAAACTTGATGTTGTTAAAAATTGAATACACATGTAACTACATGTAAGATGTTTGAGAATGTCATAAAGTACTAATAGAATTCAATGTAGGAAGATTAATTCAGAAATTCACTTGACATCCATCATCATAATTTATGCATGTATTGATAAGATGTTCCAGTTTTTCAGATCACAAGCCAGTGTTTTTGCATAAATTGAAGGATAGAAACTTGAAAATAGGCACACATGTGAAGTCAGTTAGTTAACTGTCAAGTAACTGATCTAAAAATACTAATTCTCCTCAATGAAATTCCTCAATAAGATAACCTAAAACTATAATGCAATTCTGAAGGTTGTTTTGCTTTTTGGCAACCTTCTTACACTTTTTTCCATCAAAGAATAAACATAGGGATAGAGGTAAGCTTGCAATTTTTTTCAATTTTATTTGGTTTCCCCTTTCTCTCAATAGTAGCAAACAATTTCCTAGCCAATGTATATAATAACAACTAAATATACTTATTTCTCTGTTTAAATCTAAGTACCTTCTCCTCATTTTAAGTCTTAGTGTCAATACCAGTAATTTCATGTATTATCCCATCTTTCCCTTACAGCCTGTTCCTGAAAAATGGAGGATGAACTTACTGGCTATCTTCATAACATTTCTCCTCTAAAGAAAGGTTCTAAAACCACATGATTTGATATGCAAATTCAAACAGAAGCAGAAGTTGTTAGAGAGGTATGCTTCTCAGCAGCAAAACACAATGACTTCAAAAAGTACAGTGAACAGAAAAGCCCCATCAAAATCAAGAAATTCAACATCGATGCAACAGGAGATACAAAGAGTGTACTGATGAGCCCTAGAATCCAAGTGGAACCACTGCCTGAACTCAACTTTGAACCAATCACAATCCCAACAACTGTCAGCATACCATCCATTACCTCTGATAATCCTGGACAACTGGTTGATGTCAAAGCCAATCTCCTTTACTTGTCAGGAGAGAAAAAGGCTAACACCATGAATGGCCCTAAGAGTAAGGTGGAAGCAACTCTAAGAGATCCATTTGGTTCTATCAGGATAACTCTCTGGGAACAGTATACTAATCAGGTACAAGAAGGGAAAACTTATGCCTTCAAGAACCTGAAAGTAAGAAAGAATGGTGACTGGCACGAATTAACAACAGCAAGAGATGGATCTACAACTATCACAGAAGTTGAGCCTTTCAAAGAAACATCGGCCACCCCAACAGACATCCCAGAATCATTTCTTATTTCTAAATCAACTGCTGAAATACTAGGAATTGCTCAGTTTTCAGTGTACCACTCCTGTCAGGTGTGCAAGAAAAAGCTTCATGATGAAAACACCAACATTCTGAAGTGCGGTAGTTGTGGCCTTAAACAAAAGTTAGCAAAGTGTAGCAAAAATATCTACCTGCAAGTAATAGTGAAGATCGACGATAACACCAATCTTACACTTACAATTTTTGATCAAACAATAAAAAACCTACTGATTGCAATAGGAAAAAAAGATATGCCCAAAACAGAAGATAACATTACTGAAGTTTTCCTTGATCTACCTCTAGTGGAAATCACTTACAACAAGAGGCTAAAATTGTCACTGATGTTGTGCCAAAGGCTTAATTTTTGTTCTTGAACTGTAAGCTAAGTTCACAAGTTATGTTCAAGTTCATTTAATTAGTAGAATGGACCCATGTTACTTCCAGTTACACAATATTGAAATGTTCCAATTAGCTTTTCCTTTGTTAATTTATTCAGAGAATATTGAAAAACGAACACTTGATGTAATTAATCATTATGATGATACTGAATGACATCGTTACCTTTCGACTGTATTATTTCCTTGTTTTCTCATGGACAGCAATATGTCTAGTATTGTGTATATTGTACCATGCATTTTTATTTTTCATGTGAACAGAGCTAACTGAAAGGTCTGTGTCACAAGTTTGTGTTGAATGCAATTACATCCGTTCCAATTACACAGTATCGAGTTCTTCCAGTTTCGTTGTTTAATTCACCCTGAACTAAAGTTTTGATGGAACAGTTATTTTCCATTTCTCCAAGTAAGCCCTTCACTTAGCCCATGACATGTAGTTATTGGTACTTTGTAATCCATAAGAGTACAGGCTAGATATATGTTTCCTCTAAAGATTGGCAGTTTCTGGTTAAACAAATGTTACGTTTTACATTCGTCGTTTGTTAGCAGTGTTCTTTGCTTATGTACTTTCTTACAATTGCAATGGACTAATATGTTACAAAACCCCACAGTGAGAATCAATTCAGCCCAAACCTTTGGCAACAATACATTATATCACCAGTGGTCCTAAAAGACACGTGCCAGGTCGCTTAAAAGGAATATT